AGTTTTTTCGTGGCGCCTGTATGTATGTATCTCGCATAACTCAAAAACGAGTAGACTCAGAACGTTACACTTTTGTATATAGGACTACTATAACATGCAGATTTGCATCTCCTATTTTGGTTGCAATCGGCCGAACCAAAAGTATATAAATAAATATAAAAAAATACGATGGCTTTGCTTTTCGCGAGCACGCAACCTTCAATTAATTTTCTGCAATTCAGGATCTTCCCCCTAGACCAGTACCTTCTAGAATTTGCCAGTGCATTACGTAACCGCTTCTATAAATAACGAATGCGCGCCATTTTGCGTCAGAAGCTCGCCTCTCCTCCTGTGCTTTACTCTTCGCTGCTCTGTCCATCCTTCTTTTCTTTGTTAGAATGTTATGACGCAGAAAGTCAAAATTTAATTGTACTTAGTAACTCATTATTGAATATGTAATTTGGAAAACTTCGTCGGAAAACGAAATTGATCTGCTATTTGAATTAAATAAATATGTGCAATTAAAAGTGAAATTCCTCTGTGTGTCTTCTTTGGATATCGCCTTACCACTCTGCTAAAACCATGCCTGAACTCTGATGCCAAGCTTCACGACTGCCAAAATATCACATATATACTCTGTTACTGGGCTCAGTGAGCTTAGTTTCTTTATTTTTATGTTGGTAAATTGTGCAATTTTTGCTTTAAAAATAATTGAATCATATTGCTCTTATCTTCCGGTTCAGGTTTTTATGCCTTTAGTTAACCTGCATGTTATAGTTGTAGAGTTATCAACAATTTAAAAGCTGTTTATGTGCGGCTAAGCCTAATTTTTTTTTTTTTACCATAGCAGCAATATTTGTTTATATTTGAAACTTAGCAGAATAGTGGATTTGCTGCCAATCTAGAGAAACTAAGCTTGGCAACAACAAAGTAACGTATTCTTTTATTATTGTGAATTAAATTATGCTTAATCTAGAATTCTAATTATTCTAGAATTATAATTTAAGTTTTTAAATTATCCCATATATTGACTCAGCATAGCGTCCACAATAAATTAAGTTAGTTTCTACGTCTTCTGTGTTTTTGTGCCGAGCTAGATCAAAAGTAAACTTTCAGTTTTGTGCACAGAAAAACCTGCCTTCTGGCTGCTAGCCGAATGACTTGTTTTTGCGTAGTAACTGTAATTTTAATTGTAAAAAGATGTTTTTAATTGTTTTAACTGTATTTGGTGTTTTATGTTTTTCTATATCTCACTTTTTAATATAGATATTTTAAGCTTTTATGTATTTTTCCTTTTTCGCGAACTGAATTAATTGAATGAGAAATGTATCTCTAATGAAATTCGAGGATATAAGTTTAAATGAAAGGCAGGAAAATATACGTATAATTCAATATTCCGTACACGAAAGTCATGTGGTGTACACACCAGATTTGTTTTTATTGTTGTTATGTTATGCACTTATCATGCATGCTATCTGGGAAACGAAGTCATTTTACAAGGCATAAGAACTTTAACATTTACGCTGCCTGACAAATTACAAATTCTCATAAGTGTTTTCGTTTCACCTTTTGTACAATCTTTAATTTATCTCTCGAAGTAAAAACATACTTTGCTTATAGCCGAGGGATTTAAAAGCGAATACATATACTTCTTTATAGATTTATTTATATACTTTTAGTACCATATGTGATTAATGTAATAAATAACACATATAATACATGCTATACTTTAACTGAGCCTAATAAATTGAATTTGTACTTTTCAATTTTTTTACTTTTTACATAATAAAAATTTTCATGTGTTCACAAGTTTTCCCTGTTTGTATATCATATTTTTAATGCAATATTTTTATAACTTGTTTTTGTAAAAATGAAAAAAAATTTCACAATTCATATTTTTATGCTGGAAAACTAAGACAAATAGGGAAAAGAGACAATTCAATGAGACTCTTAATTATATTAATTCGTTAACTAATTGATAAAGTACTACGCTTCCAAGTCTCAGTGAATTAGTCGAAACGAAATTTGTCTTGGATATCTAATTAATCGACCAGGTATGGAGTTTCAAAACACTTTTTCCCTTGACAAGTTCTGTTATGAAACTCCAAACGAGGGAGATTAATCTTTGCACATTTACTTTCTTAATTTTTAATTTCTACATTCAAATCAATGTCTTAGTTCGTATGTTAGATTTTTACTTTGCTGTTTTCATGTATTATAATACTTGGTAGAATTCATGTCTTCTTGCTGATGAGTTGGATCGCACCTTACTTTTAAATTTCATTTAAAATTTAGCAGCACATTACGCTAATTTATTCCTTTTAGTACAATCGTACTTACTTCTTAGCTCGTTGACTGCTTCTTTAATGATAAGTTTCGAGACGTTTGCATTCTTATTATTATAAATAAATAAATATTTTTTAACATCATAGATTGCACAGTTTGGAAAAGTTGTTACAGTGGCAGCTAAAAATTAGTTTTTCAAATACTTTTTCACGTATTCAAATCTATGCTTTAGCTGAATGAGTTTTCCATTTAAATTCGAAGAGGAAGTAATTCCTTGACCTATTTAAAGTTATGAGCTAAGCTGTTTAAATTTGTATCATTCAGGTCTTTGCCAGTACATACATATACTGGTAAAGACCTGACCCAGAATTTTTTAGCACAAAGATAGAAAGTTAATTAAGTGCTGCTATGGTTTTTATGGGGTACCACTTATTCTCAACCAAAATGAGTTTAAAAAAAAAATTAAACTACTCATGCTAGATAAAATAAATCATAACAAAATTAAACTAAACCAGTAATTTAAGAGTAATAAAATTACAAAAACTGACCAGTATAGAATATAATGAAAATATAATGGGAGGCAAATATTAAATATTGAACAGAACTTTTGTTCGGAATCGTTCTCTGTTCAGTTAGACCAACAAAACTATTATGACATAATTAAATGTTTGATTTTGTTTACACTGTAAAATATTTTAATACTAATTTTAATAAACATTCGACACAACGATTTTGGGCACTAATGATGAGTTTTGTTTATTAAAAACGCATTTAAACGAACGTTTTACAAAATATTTTGAGACTGCTGTAAAATATTTTTAAAAAATTGAAAACTATTTAAGGAAATATACATTTTTTCTTCGAGCCCAGATATTCCACACATCAGCGTTACTAGTATTTATTCATATAAAACCCAATTAATCTTTCTCTCTGCTAAAAACGTAAACGGAACGTTTTCATTCAATTAATTATAAGGATTTTTAATTGAAAATTGAGTAACTTTTCTAAAGTGCAAAGCATAAGAAACTGAAATATATTCGCATTCGGACCACAAAAAATATGTACCAATATCTATTTTAGCACATTTCCATAACAATATACATAGATTAATAGTAACACACTTTTCAGTTTAATTTCGGCGATTCTTAGTAAAGCTGTAAAAGAATAATAATATAATACATAGTTTAAATAAAATTAAACAATTAACAACACTGAATTACAAATTTATCATATGTTAATTCTTAGTTCGGACATTCTGCAGGTTACTAAATCACAAAAGTATGTATTTTAAAATACATTTGAAAAAGCATTCCCTGAGTTAAAACTTGAATAAATACGAGTCATTTCTCATTTTGCGAAGCATGTTTGATCCGGTTTTGGAATTCAAGCGAAGCTAATATGTTCAAGTCATGTTTCATTTTACAGCTATATAGCGCTTTTCAGAAAAATAATATTCTTCTCAATAAAAGTTTTACAAAACTCAGTTATAATAAGAATGTTAAGATCAACCGAGAACTTAAGTGTAGCTCCTAGACTAAGTTAAACCATTTTTCATAAAAATTTGCTATTTTGTGGAGATTAGTTTATTTACCAATATTTATACGATTTGCACAATTATAATAATAGTCTATAGTATACTGCGCATTTTGATAAGAAAGTTTCTCTTTAATTTTTCTATATATATAAGTAATTACTAAATGATATAAAACTTCAGTAGCGACATGCAGACATAATGAGTCAAAAACGCTAGCTCACATTTTTTTTTTAAATTTTAATTAACTGACCTGATTTTAACAATTAAATACTTATATGATTACCTACTGATTTGCGTAGTATAATATTTCGGGTTCAGAAACTCAAAAATTTTACCATTTCTTTTTATATTTCATATCATCTATATATATATAAGAGAGTAATGCATATTGTAAAAAATATTCACTTTTGATTTCTTTGATAAAAATCTCTCATTTGAGACAGATTGCCGGTTTTCAACCCTGTCCGGAATCTAAGCTAAATTCTAAAGGATCAGACTGCAAGTATCTTTTTAATTAACAGATATTTCATTTATTAATATTATCATAAATTCTATAAAAGTGTGCAAAACAAACCATAATTTAACGCAAATCTCTCGAAATGCAGCACGTACATAATCTTTTTTGAAAACAACATAGAATAAAAGAGTATTCTTCGTCGTCCCTTATGCTTTTTAAATAAGGAACAGCCAACGGAGAACAACATAATAAATAAATGATGATAAAAGTACTTATTTCATATATTTTTAGAAGATCTGCACGTAATATGCAAGTTTCGAACCAGTATGAAACATATGTTACGACAAAAAAATAATTTTCTCAATAAATTCGTTATCTATTTCCCATTTAATAAATGAATATCCAGATTTAATCTATGTAACTAAAAAGGAAACTACATTTAGCACTTTTCATCATTTCAACAGATTCATTTGCGATTAAATGATTAAATCATTATCCGTAAAATAAGAGCTTACCAAAATTAAAATTAAAATTACAAATCAGCGTTCAGGTAGAACAAATCAAACTCTATCGGTATTCTTCGTGATTCCGACCGGCGATTTTAACACCACGCATATGGAAGAACGAAAAAAAAATTCCGCAACCATATGATTTAAACAGCTGTTATGCTTCAACAACAGAAGATCGGCACTTCTGATTAAGGTGAGGATAGCTTATTTTGTCAGAATTCTCTATTCCACTTACCTTTCCTGAAAGTTCCTTTTTTTCGCTGATGCAGTCTGCAGTTTCCGGCATCCGGCACGTGATTTAAAATGATCTTTAATTTAAAAGTCCCATTACGGTGCCCACTTGCCAGCGTATGGAGGCTTCATTTGTTCTCTGCTTCTCTCCAGAGCATGCGCAAGTCGAAGGCTTCAGTGAAAACAAAACACCTGATGCGCGTTTCTCAGAGTGGGTTGCCATATTTGGCATCAGAGCTTCAATTTAATACGAATCGGTTTATCGATAAACGATAACATTCGAGTCGGAATTTTTATTGCTCTGTTATTTTTTTGGGGGGGTGGAGGAGACACGATTTGGAGCAATACTATTTTGTTGAATAATTAAGGGGGATTGTTTTCGGCAATTATAATATTGTTATATAAAAATATGAATTATAAAACATAGTCACTTTGCAATACATTTACACATCTTAATCATCTAACCCATGGCTTCTGAAATTTTATTCGAATGAGAACTTTCGTAAATTAGAATTACCTTTTTTTGTTCCAGTCGAAAGCAATTTTTTAACATATGTTACTGCAGGTATATTTTAAAAATACAACTAATTAAAATTCATTTGATTTTATACTGGTATTAAGTACTTAATAGAAAGATTATATGTTTTTAATAATTCAAGGTTATTTAGAGTCAAGATAATCATTATCTTATTAACAAAAAATTGCATTCGATAGCGGCCAAAATGGATATTTTCGTTGAAATATGATACTCGGAACTTTTCGTAATTGCAGTACTTCCTTTACTTGGTACAAGGAAGTAAAAATGCAAGAAGAGCGGAATATTTGTGGGACCACAGTAAACGACATCTTTGATTTTCTGCTAAGAATTAATTTAAATCGCAAAATTTGGATTCCACTGTTATCGAAATATATAACAAGACATGGTCCCTTCGCCGCGTTTAACTATACGCATGAATTTGCCAATAATGGATATTGGTTTTTGATGTCATAAGATTTTCATATCAGTGTGTAATGGAATGCCCCTTAACAAAACACTGCCATATTAAATTTCCTGCAGCTAATGTCATTTCTTTCAAAAGATTCCTAATTTATCAGACACCTTAGTCTTAAAATTTATAAAATTATGATAATGCTTTTTGCCTTTAGAAATCTATTTTTCATTCTGCTTAAAAATATGAATATAATAGTAGAATGCTTAATTCGTCTTTCAAACTTTCATTATTTTATTATAAGCTTTATTTTATGAACATCAGCTGTAAAGGCTTAATTATAGCATTTTGATTTTTATATGACCGATTTTATGAGTACTTCATCGAATTTTATGGCATCCACATACTGTGGACTTTATGAACTTCATTTTAATGAGATTACAATTTTATTTTAATTTTAGTTTATTTATTTCTCTTTTATGTAAATATATTTTGAAATTTATACTTTTAAATTACGATTTTAATGGGGAAAATGTAAACCATTCGATTATTATTATTTAAAATTAAAATTAATTTAATTAATGATGGGTGAGGGACAACACTTGTTATCTTTTGGTAAAGACTAATTGTTCCATTCATCATTGACTGAACTGTCAGTATTTATTAAATAAGTCATTAAATGTTGTTATCATTTAGACTAATATTGTCTTAACACACTGGTTAAGATGTGGGTATAAATCGCTACAGTATTGGAAAATTTTCAATTCTAATTTACTATAATTAAAATTAAAATTTTAACTGAAATAATTTCTTAAAATTTAAAACACCTTTCTCATTCGAGAAACTATCTTTGTTAAACTATCTATCGAAGCAATTTTAACGCACAAGTAATTTTTAATAATTAATTTTTAATAAAAACTTATTTTTATAATTATTCTTAAGGAATGTCTCAGTTTCCATTTTTCCAGTATGTATATTGGCTCCTTTTTGAATGATATTTATTAAAATATGAACATGACCGAATATACTAATATTTAAATCTAAATGTACTTGAAAATAATTAAATGTTCTTTTAGCCCTCCAATGGTTATGAACTACATAAAATTCCGTTTAAGAAGATGGCTTACTAATTCGCTTCACATGAATCTTTCTGCCAAATGCTGTGTATCCGATTTCTGATTGGATACATTTTGAAAGAAAAGGAATCAAGGTAAAAATTCAGAGAATGAAAGGCTTATTTTGAAATTATAATCAAGAAAAAAAAATTCTTCATGACATTTTGTGAAGTTTGAAATTTTAAATATCAGTTAAAATGTTTTGTGTAATTTGTATGTGCGTGTATGTAAGTATCACCTGTATCTTCCATCATATAACGCTCCAGTGATCGGAAGCTCAATGCAAAATATTTGTCGGGACCGACAGAATCCATCGCCTTTCTAGCCGCCTTATCACTGTTAACTATGTCCAATTTTCCAGAAGAAAGACTAATATCCAGCAAGGATGGATGGGACAGAAACATATATAGCCAAAACTTACGATTTTCGTAACTTCGAAAGATTCGAGTTTAATCAGTCTAACAGTCAAATTCCGTTTATCACTTCACTGTTCAGTTCGTTTTCATTATACAAGTACTATATTCAAAGCCATTTAAAATTAAGGAAAGGATATTTAGTGTTTAAGCCTTATTTCTTTCTCCTCAGCTCTACTATTACTGAACTCACTTATGACACAGTACATAAGACTGTCAAACGTTATTAATTTGTCCGGGATCACATCCCGAAAAAGCAGGCAAGCTGAATCGGCATTTTCGTTGTTTTCCGCATGTGTAACATAAATACAAGTCAGTTTCCCTTAGAAAATTCTTCACGAAGGCACAAACTGGCAGGTAGTAAGAGTCAAGTTCATATGATTTAGTTACTTATCCAATAAACCACCCAGCAGCATATGCGTGAGGTATTTGTCTGTTCGGGCAAAATGATAAGTGTTTGGTAAGTATATTTGTGCAATGTCGATCTTTTACATCTTAAGATAAAAAATCATTACCTCCTATGAATACCAAGCTATTTCTGTAACTATTAACTTATTTCTTGTTTCAATAGTCTTTAATACATAAGAACGGATCATTGCTGTCTGTTGAAGGAAAAAAATTGAAAGTTCATAGCTGATAACTTTTTTTTTTTTTTTTTTTTGCTAACTCTAATATTAACACCTCTTGTTCCAGAACGTATACCATGAGGGTAACGCAAGTAAGTTACAACACTAGCAAAATAAATAAACAAATGTACAATAGCACTGCAAATAGAGAAAAAAGTATTAAAAAATAAATAATATATATACACTCAAGAGCCAAAACATTATACCACCTGTCAATAACGAGTTGGGCCACCTTTGGCGCGTAACACAGCTTCAACACGCCTTGGTATGGATGCCACAAGTCCTTGATAGATGGCCGGAGACAGATTGTACCAGATGTTGTAGCAACGGTCACGCAAATCCGAGATATTGCGAATTGGTGGTCTTTGACCTCTGAGCTGCCGTCCCATGACATCCCAAATGTGTTCTATCGGATTGAGATCCGGTGAGTTAGGCGGCCAGGACATTAACTGGAATTCAGCATCATGTTCCTGGAACCACTCCAACACAATTGTAGCCTTGTGACACGGGGCGTTGTCCTGTTGGAACATTCCATTTCCAGCTTGAGAAACAGAGGTCATGTAAGGGTGCAACTGGTCCGCAATGATGTTCAGATACCCTGTAGCATTCATGGTCTGCTCTACCACAACCACGTGTCCCAGAGACGCCTAAGAGAACGTCCTCCAGAGCATAATACCGCCACCACCGGCCTGTGTATGACCTACTGTGCTTTGAGGGAGAAACTGTTTTCCTGGAAGATGGCGTATCCTGACACGGCCATCGGCGTAATGAATGAAAAACCGTGATTCATCTGACCAGGCAACTCTCTCCTACTGATCCATGGACCAGTCGCGATGTTCCCGGGCCCAGCGCAGGCGCAGTTGGCGATGACGTTTGGTCAGCAAAGGCACACGAGTGGGACGTTTGCTGCGTAGCCCCATTCCAACAGTGTCCGCTGAACAGTGTGTTCCGTTACTTTTCTACTTGGCCCTGCATTGTATTCGGCTGTCAGCTGAGCCAATGTCTGGCTCCAGTTTTGCTTCAGCATGCGCAACAGTGTCCAACGACCTTTTTCTTTGATAGCGTGTGGACGTCCAACACCATGTCGTCTACTGCTGGTTTCACCGTCAGTCATCCACTTTTCATACGTATTAACAACTGTAGATCGCGAACAACCCACGAGTCGTGCAGTTTCGGAAATACTTGTTCCGACCCTTTGATCCATTACAATCTGCCCTCTATCAAAGTCGCTTACATTCGCAGCCTTTCCCATCACACACAAAAGTAAGTGAAAGAATGATTCTTCAGACTCTCCAGCAGCAGTTAAATAGCACTTCCACCTGATCACGCGCCTTCCACGTCATACAGGCGCGTTCATCGCAAAATGTAGGGCTGGTCATAATGTTTTGGCTCTTTAGTTTATATATAATAAAAAAGAAAATTTAAAATTAAAAAAGTAAAAAACATAAATGTATAAAAAGAACGGTATAAAAGCCTGTAGGGTAACTATTGATCTAGTCCTGCAGACCTTAGTAGGCAAGTCAGCGCTACGTCTAAAATATTAGGTCAAAGTCTTGACAAGGGTTGAATATTATACATAAAAGGCACGACTTGTGCTTTAGATGTACCACCTCTAGTGGCGATGTAAATTAAGCAGTAACAGTCAAATAAATATAAACGTAAATAAAGTAGTCTAAGACTACGCATTCAATAACCTAAGCTACAAGCTGGTTCATTTAATTTATCGGCGCGTAAGCTTAAGATATCTGCTAGAGAGAGAATGCAAGAAACAGAATAATCATTTTTAGATAGAACGGCCGAAATCCTAATAGCGTGGCTCGAGTGCCAGAAACTCTCTCTCTCACTCTCTAAGATTCAAAACCAACAACTTAAAAACAAAAGAATGACGACTTAAAAAGTATTTTAATACATTTTTTTGGCATGATACTATATTGTCCTTAAAATCTGATAATATGTTTCGACAATTATGTATGCTATGAGCTGAAAGGTATAATAAAATTGCTTGCTTAACGTTTTCCTCTTGTTTTATTTACTATATCAGGTGCTACAAT